TGATTTGTTTCTTTTTTTTTTTTTTTCTTTTTATCTATAGGTAAGTCATGCTTTCTAGTTTTCTTCACCCGTGAGTGGGGTCATTTCCTTTACCAGGGGCCCATGTAAGGTTGTTTTCCCAGGTATGTTCGTCTGACAAATCAGAAAGCACGCATTAACCTTAAACTAAAGTTTATTTGATCACATGGCCTGTTGATTTTCATTCTAAATGATCCTTTCCTAGATCTTGGAGCCAGTCGCTTGCTGAGTATGGTTATATTATGCTCATAGTTCAAATCTTGGGTCTGATTCTTTCCAGTATCACTAATTTTTAGTAACTTATAGGTGGACCATAGATGTCATCATAAACTTCACTGTCATTCTACCTCTTCCGTGTGCTGGGGGCACATCGCGTGTTTGCGTGAGGGAAGGGGGAGGGAGCAGGAGCAGAGGGTGGTGTGGAGACAGAAGCACAGGCAGTGAGAGACAGTGAGCTGAGAGGCAAAAAAGAAAAAGCAAACTTTCGCATGTGTGATCTGATTTTACTTGGAGTGACTTTTACTGTGTGTTACCTCTCTTACAGAGCCATCTTGATTTTTTGAAACCATTTGTCTGGTCTGACTTCTAAGGTATTTCTGTCTTCTTTCCCCAGCAACACTATATAAGTGTGTATCATATGCTTATTTATCTTTATATCCCTTGAACCTTTATAGTTGTTACTTTACAAAATGAAATGTATGTATGATTATCACCCTAAAGCACTTTGCTTTTCACTGTCCAGTACAGGAACCACTAGTTGTGTGGGGCTGTTTAAGTTTAGGTTTAAATTAATTAAAATAAGGTATATCATTGTTCAGTTGCACTAGCTATATTTCACCTGCTTAGTAGAGTATTATATCTGACAGTCCAAAACCATTGCTAACTCAGTTCTTCATTATATACCGTGTGGATATTGAGTTGGAGGCTCAAAGTTTCTTGATTCACAGTTAAATCCCAAGCCGAATCAAAGCATGATTGTAAATTGATTTTAATGGACTGCCTTACCCTGAACTGTCTGCTACCTTTGTTTCAATGGAGCCTCATCACATGAGAGCATTTTTCACCTAGAAATATGAAGAAATCCATTTTAGGCTTGTGAGTAATTGTGAGTTGTTTTTATATGTATTTATATATGTATAAGTAATATTCCCTGATGTTTCATTATGAAGGGGAAAAAAAGCTTTAAATAAAAGTAAGTTTTTAAAAATTCCTGATATAGGAAGCAAAAAAGCCAGTACAATTTCTAATTGCCTTTTAGAGTCTCTGAGTTCCCTCATTACCTGTGATTTAAGCTAAAAATGAGGTAATTACAGATAACATCAGTGTTTATCTGGTTGATCTCGACACCTGCAGTCCTAACGTAGCTTACCCAGATCTGGGGCCACACTTACAGTCTGATGCTGACATTCCTAATTTATGCTTCTCCCATTTCCTTTGATTTTTAAGTTAGATGTTCCTGGTTCTATTTCAATAGTATTTTAAAAGCCATAGCTTTAAAATGTTACAAAGACACATACTTTTATATGTGGATATTGGAGTCATGGTACAGTCCTTTAATTAAGAGAAATCTTTCCCTAATATATTTCTATGCAGATTGAAAATTTGACTGTGTTCTTCTTCCCTTTGCATTTGATAAAGCAGATATGACCATAATTAATATGGCAGTCTTTCCACGTATTGGCATGCACTTTAGGATAGTAAAATTATAGAAACCATTTCACATCAAGTGCAGTTTTCTTACCTGTGGTTCCGCACCTTCAGATATTCTGCCCATCTAACTTGGATCTCGTCCAATTTAAAGATCACCTTTCCTTGGCCTGGCCTTTAGTCCCGCTGTCACTCTGGTCAGACCTCAGAGACGAGACGACCACGGTTGACGGGCCGTCTAGGTCTGTCTAGTCAACGCTATGACTTTTCCAGTAGTCATGTATGGATGTGAGAGTTGGACCTTAAAGAAGGCTGAGTGCCTAAGAATTGATGCTTTCAAACTGTGGTGCTGGAGAAGACTCCTGAGGGCCTGAGCGCCTCACTGAAGATGTTTTCAGGGACCTGGTGTCTGCACTGCATCGCCAGGAGGTGGCCCCAGCCCATGTTGATGAGAGGTTTCAAGGGCCTGGTCTCTAATCTGTTCCATTTGAGGCACTTAAATGAAAGTGCCTCTGTTCCACCTGAATGTCCCCTGTGTTCTTAACCACTCACAGCGTCTGTTGACGTACCTTCTCAGTCCAACTGATAAAAATGTATCCCTATACTTTCGGACCTCACGTTCAAAACCTGACACTGTAAGGAAGGAAATGCAAGACACATCCCCGTCCTGCCCTCTTAGGGGCCGTTTTTGTCCTTTGATGTGTGGAGAGCCATGCTTCCCTTTGCTGTTGTCACCCCCGTCATTCAGGAAGACCTTTCCCACACTCTCACTCTTTCTCTCTCATGACAACTTACTTTCTCTGGGACTCAGTTTTGTCATTCACAAAGAGGGGTTAAAAATACCTAGGAGGGTTGTTGGAGAGGTTAAAAATGATTTACCCAAAATATCACATATCATAACATGAATGGTTTTTTTTTCTTTTTAGCATTTTGAGAGCATCATTGCTAGATTTTTGCGGCAACAGACTATATAGTTTTATGTAAGACAAAGTTAACAACTATTTCTTCTTTACTCTTGTTAATTAAACTGAAAAATCTCACCGCCGACTCCTCAGCACATAATATTCTTTTCCCAGGCTCAGGACTATTGGCCACCATTCATATTTGTGATTGGAAAGAACTTTTCTTTTGGTCCAGCTCCCCTCAAAGGACTCAACTTGTCCTCTGTACACTGTTCAACCTCTGGCAACCCAGTTTTTGCGGTAGCATTTCAGTGCCTGTGGGGTTACTACTTACCATGTTTTACACTGAGTTTTAATTTTTTGATATAAAATTATTTCTCTCTTCTCTGAACTGCCAGAGTGCTCTGCCTTAATCACATGACTATTGGTTTACACATCCTTCTGCTCCCTTAACTGAATGCTTTTAAAAACATCTCTAAGTGCTAAGTACAGAGTAGGCACTGAATAGATGTGTATTGTGTTTGCTGTGTATCACAGTTTGTTAACAAAATACCGTCGCATAGAAGAGAAAGACAATCAATAGATCAGTTTGTGGCCTTTATGTACCTGTTGTCAGAGCGCTCCATCAGTTTGAGATTTGTGTCTTAATTAGAACTATAAGTACCTCTGAATAAATTTAAATAATTGTGAATTTTAGAGAGAATGTTTCCATTTCACATGCCTCAGTCTCCTTTTTTCTTTACCAATACTGTAATCAAGGCACGGGGTCTTATTTGAGCTAACAGATAATTATCCTTCATTACATAAGTGCTGTGTAACTTGACCTTAAAAGGCCGCAGAACCTGACAAGATGGCAGTGGATCTAGCCAGCTGGATCTGCTTTCACAGGGTGTCGGTACCTGTGAGCAGGAGCTGCTTCTGGAGGAGTCTGGGGGAGTCATTGCCTCACGCGTTCCCTCTCTGATCCGGAAAGTACTGTTGCTTTCAGGCCATGGAACTGCATGGTCTCAAACAAATTATTCCATTTGAAATCTGTGTTTTCTCTTCATAGACTATGAGCTATATAGACAGAAGCATATTTTCTGAGATGTATGCCTGTATTGTTATTTGTTCATTTTTTCCCTCATTTTTGACTAAAACTGAAAGCAAAATTTGAACAGTGAGATGTAGGTGATTATGACCAACCAAGACAGCATATTAAAAAGCAGGGACATTACTTTGCCAACAAAGGTCCGTCTAGTCAAGGCTATGGTTTTTCCAGTGGTCATGTGTGGATGTTAGAGTTGGACTATAAAGAAAGCTGAGCACTGAAGAATTGATGCTTTTGAACTATGGTGTTGGAGAAGACTCTTGAGAGTCCTTTGGACTGCAAGGAGATCCAACCAGTCCATCCTAAAGGAGATCAGTCCTGGGTGTTCATTGGAAGGACTGATGCTGAAAGTACTTCAGTACTTTGGCCACCTCATGTGAAGAGTTGACTCATTGGAAAAGACCCTGATGCTGGGAGGGACTGGGGGCAGGAGGAGAAGGGGACGACAGGGGATGAGATGGTTGGATGGCATCACTGACACGATGGACATGAGTTTGGGTGGACTCTGGGAGTTAGTGATGGACAGGGAGGCCTGGCATGCTGCAGTCCATGGGGTCGCAAAGAGTTGGACACAACTGAGAGACTGAACTGAACTGAACTGAATGGGAAATGGATAGTATATTTAAAATATCATAGATAATACAAATGAACTAAAGTAATTTCAAAAAACCCCAAGAATTGATTTCCTTGAACTTGAAGTGGCTAAGAATTAACTTAAGCATGAAAACAAAGTAAAGAGAATCAAGAGGAAATAAATATTAGGTTTAAATTATATATGAAAAGTTTCAGTGGTTTGAAAATCAAAATAATTAGGTTAAAAATACACACACATGGCAGACAGTAGTGTCTTTAATGTATGAAACACTTCTCTCTTGGACCAATAAGTCCAAGTAAAAGCAGTGTTATTATTAAAAACAGTATTAAATTTTTAGATGTTATGATATGCTGGGTGACCTTCTAAGAATTTTTCACATATTTTAATTCTCATAGTAATTATTTGAGGTAGCTGCTATTATTATTACTCCATTTTATAGATGAGGCAACAGAGTCACAGGTTAAGTGATTTTGAGCATGCCTGCACACCTAGTAAATTACGTAGTTTCTGAATGGATGACTTTCTTTTTATTGCAGAAACGTGACTCTGATGTCTGTCCTTTTGGCCACTAGCCTATACTGCTTAACATGGGCAAAGGACAAGAAAGAACATTTTAAAAAAGAATAAATAAAATGGCACCAAATCATGAAAAATTTTCTGTTTCACTAATGATACAGAAAGAAGTAAAACTCTAAATGAAATTTATTCTCTTCTTTGACTAGGGTGGCGGAAATAAGACCTTTCCATGGAGTGGTGGTAGGAATTTATTTCCCCCAGTGCAGGGCTCTGGGGTGAGGCTGGAGTTCTCTGCTCAGGGCATTAGGGGACCATTGCGTCGGCCGCTCTCCTGGAAGGCTGGGTGTGGGAGACGCAGCTTGCTCCACAGTCAGGGCTCAGCGTGCTCCGCGTGCCGCTGGTTGGGATGCTGGATCTGAGGTCCCTCGTATGCGGCTTTTCTTTCCAAACACCAGTGGGGCCTGGCCAGGGACAGCCACGCGCGGGACACAGAGAATGATCGAGAGGTTTCGAGACTTCCTTTTGAGTTCGTCTTTCTGAAGAGAGTGCCAGGCTTGCAGCTTGGATAATAAATTTTACATTATTAGTTTATCGTGGCACTATGGAATCTGAGGGAAATTTCATAAAGCCGCCCTCAGTAGCCTCAACTGTTGACAAATGATTCTTGAGGTTTAGTTTGGTACAAGATGCAGAGAATGTAGGTCTGCTTCCTTTATTCAAACTCAGTAACTGGTTTGGGACAATTAATTTCCAATTGTTTCCCAGTGGAGCAGATTTACTTGTATATTAATGAGGCACAGGTGTTGGGCCCCTGGTGTCTGCGTGCCTGGGAGGCATATTTCAGTTGTTTATCTCCTCAGCCATAGGTACGCAAGGTACTCAAGCTTGCCTTTCACAGTTTTTACAGTGAGGCTTTTTAATTTTTTTTTATTTTTTTTCACATTTGCCTGCACCTGTTAAAATTTTAAAACTGTTCGTGTAGAAAGAAGTTGCAAAGATTTCAATAGTAAATAGTACTAAAAATTAAAGGAAATAGTCATTCTGTTTAACTGCCCGGCCTTACGTGAAAGAGAAGTGAGTTGATTTCATGAGCTCTTTCAGGTGAGAAGCCAATATGATCAATCAATGACCCAAATTTTGGTTGTGTATTTTTTGAGCAGGTATATCTTTGTTAGTGTCTAGAGCAGTCATATACTTGTATTAATATTCATTTTTTTTCTTGTTGATTCACTGAAATGCACTACCAACATTTAAGAGGCAGTGGAATAGCCTCCATAGACATTATGAATTTCAGTAGCTGGCATAATTATAGCGATCTACATATTCATTAAATCTACAGGAGAACTCTGTCCAAAAAGACAGCCTTGCATTCAGAAACAGACAACTAAATACATATATTTTAAAAGTTGCATCTTTGAGACTTATTTAAAATTGAATTCCTGCAGCACTCCTCTCCAAGCAGAAGAATTTTAACAAAAGGATCCTCATGCTTTGGTTTCTTGCATCTAGGAAAGAATGGGAAGAACTATTTGTAAACAACAATTACTTGGCAACAATAAGGCAGAAGGGGATTAATGGGCAGCTGAGAAGCAGCAGGTTCCGCAGCATTTGCTGGAAGGTAAGAAGAAAATATTTATTTACAGTTTGTGGTTGCAGTCTATCAACACATTACCTGATGCCCTGGAAGATCACCCATGCGGGGGATCACTGAATTTTCCAAGAGACTTCACTCACGAGGTTTTGGCTATCTAGGTTTATCTTTCATAGGACATTTGCTAATAAGGTTGAAGCAAGCGCCTTAGTCCTGGATAGCTGGCGATGGTGCAGGAATCATTTGAAATACCGGTCTTTTCATCCCACTTGATGGTGCGGAGCTCAAGCAAAGCCTTCTGGGTCCCCAGAGGCACTTGCAGAAACCCTTGGCGCTGGGCGGGGGATGGTGGGTGGGTGTTTTCACATCCCTGTTACATCAAGTGCTGTCATGGTCGCCTGCCTTTATTTCTTCACAAACAGCAGATGGGAAGGATATTTTCATGTTTTCTATCCTGGAAACACAGTGGAGGGCAGCGAGAAGGAGAAGTGGAGAGAAACTAGGTCAGTGTCCTTCCAGAGGAAGGCCGTTGGCCACCCCTGGGTAATGATGATCTGCAGTGTCTCTTTCACGGCTTGGAAATCCGTCCCCTTCTGTTCTCTCAAAATGAGTCAGTTTAGATGGAGACTCACTTTTTAAATGACTTCTCTTGAAAGTTGTTTCGGGTTCATCTGCATAAATTGAGCAGACGGAGCCTGCAAGTGAAGACAGTAAGGAACACATAATGTATTAGACAGTTTGAAATTTAATAATTTAGGTTTAATAATTAAAGTACATTTTTCTTCTGCTCGGTGCTGGCAGTGAAGGCAGGGTCGCGCTGCTCGCATGTTTGTACAGGAGGCTTTGGGCCCCCCCCACCCCCCACTCCATGTTGTTTAACTTTTTGAGTCTCCTTCCTTTGCTAAAAATAAACTCAAACCCAGATTTATTTTAATGTTTTATTAAGCTAAATGAAATCAAATTTGTCTTTTTGAGAATGCTTGTTAATTTTGTAAACTAACTGCTAGTTGTAAACTGCATTTTCTGCTATGAAAGGAACACTTCCCTGCTCAGGGTTGTCCTCAAACTGTTCCTCTCTGTCCACTACCTGCTTGTTTGAAGACAGATCTTGGAAGCCTTGACACTGCAATGTGGACCTTGGGCTTGTTAGTGCACTCCATCACCCCCCTTAATATAAGAAAGTAGAACAGAGTGTACTTGAACCTTAATTAATTTTCCTTGTTCACTTTTACTGTAACTCTGGAGGGGAGATGGATTCCATCTTGTGGTGTATCTTTTGGGATCTTGTTTTCTGGCCTTTGTTCACTTTTGAAATTGTCCAAATTGATATATGTCTTAAATATCCCCACATATAATTGCGAGTTGGAATGGTGATATGAGTGTGAAATACCATGAATGTATTTTCTTCAGTTTTCAAGTGATGCCCTTTAACATAGTTTCACATATTCTTAGGACTTTTATAAAAGTTTTCCTTTTTTTTTGACAGCTTTTTCTTTGTGTTCTTCCTCAAGATAAAAGTCAGTGGATAAGTAAAATTAAAGAACTAAGAGCATGGTATAGCGGCATTAAAGAAATAGTAAGTTGTACTTTAAGTAATGTAATTGTTTTCTTAATTAGGCCTTGAAGAGCAGTAGCCTCTGACCTTTGCGTGTGTGTTTTCTTTCTTTCCAGCACATCACAAACCCTAGGAAGGTTGTTGGGCAGCAAGACTTGATGATCAATAACCCCCTTTCCCAGGACGAAGGGGTAAAGTTTGTGTTTATTCACGTCTCAGCCGCTCTTGCCCATCAGAGTATGCTTGTGTCTCATTATCAGTCACCATGGAAGCAGTGTCACTCTACACCAATAGGATGATTCTTTTACCTCCTGCATTAGTCCACCTAAAGCCGGATGGGCATTATTCCCTGCTGTGTGCTGACAGTGTTGGGGGAAGCCAGTGGGCTGCTCCTGGAGATGGCACAGTGGAGGGGAGGCCCCGGGGCTGTGAGAGCTCAGGGTCAGAGAACCCAGAGGAGGTCGCCGCTGGGGCGGGAAAGGCCGCCCCGCACAGAGCCCCCTTCTGGCAGAAGTGAGAAGGCCGCACCCGGGAGGTCAGCTCTCCGGCAGGAGACAGCTGCGTGTCGTGCCTCTCTGGACGGGGATTTAAGATCATGAAAAAGATGGGGCCCTCCCCGCTCAGACCCCAGTGAGGATGAGGAGTGATGCACTCCAGACGCGTTGTGTAGCTGCTTCATTGCCTGTTTCTGCGCTGAAGGATGTTCTTTTGTTTCACGTTTTCTGTATAAAATCAACATTTCTTTTTCCTTGTATGTGTAATTATTATAATATAGTCTGTGACTATTAAGCAGTTTTTAAAACTTGAAGTTCATACTTTAAGAAATAGATAAAAATCAACCAAAGCTTTGTAGAAAACATTACGTATCTTTCTGTGTTGGCAATTCAGGTCAGGTTCAAGCGGGGCCAGCTGGCCTGTGGTCCTCCTCTAATTCAGGTAGAACTTTTTGTTGTTGGAAGGGCAGCAGCAGATGTCTAGCAGTAAAAGTATCATTCACTTTAAGTAGATAGTAGAAAATTTTAAATATGCAGAGTAATATCACTGGAAAAACTAATGTTAGAATGATTATGTGTCTCTGAGATTAGACTAGATTTTAATAAGACATTTTCCAGTTCCATGTTTTCTATCTGCAATGTGAAATCACAACTCAGAGAAGGATAACTTTTAATTATTTGAATCATTAGATTGAGATCATAAAAGTCAAGCAGAGGTGCAGTGTTGTTTTAAATAAGTTGCTTTCCTTATTTCAGAGTCTTTGGAACAAATTCTTCCAGGATAAAGAGCTTCGATCAATGATTGAACAAGACGTCAAAAGAACGTATGTAGAACTATTTACAAGTTACCTTCAGTAATTCAGACTGGTGTTACCTCTTTGAAGTTTTAGCAAGCTATATAATCTGTAGAGGAGCCTTAGTCGAATGCAGTATTCTACTTGTGTTAATACTTATTTTGGCCAAATTTTGATGATAATAGTTACTTTCTATTCTTAAATTATAGACTTTTGTGTTCCCTTTGTCAAAATAGGTTACATTTATAATATTGGTAATACTAAAATAATATATAAATACTGAAATGTTTAAATCAGTTTTTCAGTTTCCAACGCTTGCTTGAAGTCATGTGCTTCTAATTAAGGTTATATATTGTAGTATTAATACTGGTTTTGCTAGAAAAAAATTATCTTTTGCTTTATACTTTGAATCCCTTTCTAATCAAATCACTGTTTAAGTGACAGCTGTATTTTTACCCCTCCCCCCTTTACTTCTGTTCCTCTTGACACCGTTCAAGTTTGCAAACAACTCCACATCTTCTCAATATTTCCTATATGAGGTGGCTCTTTATCTAGCATGTGGTTAATTTCTATAACTTTTATGTATTGGACCTCACTTTTTTTTGGGTCATGTAATGAGGAGTGCATGGAATTTGTGTGGAAAGAGCCTGGGGTAAGTTCTAGTAAGGTATGCTCTAATCCCGGACAAAGTAATTTCAACAAAGGTCTTTCCCCCTTAGATGTTCATTTCTGCAAAACAGAGGTTAAGACCGAGCACCTCATGGCATAGTTACAGACTCATGTGTTGTTAATAGTAGTAAATTAGATGCGTCTGCATTTCAGACTGTGTCAGTACCAGTCGCGTACCAGCCCTTCCTCACCAGGGTCTGGGGTGAGCCAGGTGTATGAGAGTCCCTACCTCCGGGGCCGCCTCCCAGGCTCCCCTGCGCCTCTGCCTGCCTGCCCCACCCCGGTTCAAGTCCCGCTCCGCTGGGCGCACAGACGGGGCCCTGGCTCTCTCTCCAGGCCCCAGACGGAATGGTCAGATGACGGGGACTTGCATTAAGGTCATACTGCCGATTTAATCCGTGAGACTTTCTGCTTTAAGATGGAGATGTCTCAGAGGGGTCGCGGGTCCAGAGAGCAGCAGCACACCCAGAGCTGGCCGAGGCGGCGTTGGAGGCGGGACGTGTGGGGCACCTGGTGAGCCTGGCTAACGAGGACCAGGCAGTTTCAGGGAGTTACCTTCCCGAGGCAGGCCGTGGTGCTGGTCTCTCGTCGGGGGTTTCAGAAGGCAGAGTGCCATTGTTTTGGTTCACAGGAGACCCTCAGTAAATATTTGTTGCATAAAACAAAAGGATGAATTTCCTTACCCATCGCTTTAGTAACTAGCTGGGTAATCAGTGGCGATAAAACAGGGTTTATAAAAACAAAATACACAGTATATATAGTTTACCAAGCAGTAACGGTATCTCGTTTTTAAAACGGTCGGCAGTTATCTTAGAAAACTTGATAGCTTATGTTTGAAGTAGCCAGTAAGAAGAGTTTTGGTGTCTGCTGTTGTCAGATGGAAGTGGAGGCACCATGTCGCTGGACAGGGTCCCACACCTGGGACCAGCCGGGCCAGATTGCTGAAGGAAGCGGGAGCAGAGAGAGAAAGGGAAAGAAAAGGGTGGATAGCAAAACCAAACAGGAAATGGGATTGCTAGCCCCTTCAGTGTTTTGGTTCCTTACAGCAAACATTTCTGCTTCGCTGTGTGGGAAAATGTTATTTCTCATAAGCTGTATTCTGTGTGTTTCTCTTATAAAAACGTGTGTGTGTCTGTGTGTCTAACACACATCCATGGCAGTTTTTTCCTTATGATTTGTCTCCGCTGGTGCATTTTAGTTCAGTTTACAAAGCTGAGATGCAGAGAAGGGCTCTGGGTGGGGGAGGTTCATGCCTCCCTCCCCAGAAGTCTCTCCCATGTCTCGCCTCACATTTTGAGGAAGTCTCCTAGCCACCTCTCTGTAAATTCTGTGGCAACTAACTTAGCTTGTAGGGTAAGGCTCTCCATCTTATTTTAAAGCCAGCAAATTGCCTAATCATAAGAGCTGAGTAGCTTGAGTAATTTCGCTGTTAGTCCTTTAGGCGTACACCCTCCTCAGAGGGCACTGTGTGTGCAGTCGTGTCTGACTCTTTGTGATCCCATGGACTGTATCCCCCCAGGCTCCTCTCCCATGGAGTTTTCCAGGCAGGGATACTGCAGTGGGTTGCTGTTTCCTACTCCAGGGATCGAACCTGTGTCTCTTGCGTCTCCTGCATGGGCAGATGGATGCTTGACCACTGCACTACCTGGGAAGCCTTTAGAAGGCCCTTCATGATCCCAAATCCATGGTTTTCACCCCAGTCTGCACGGCAGCTCATGATGCAGTGGGCGGGGAGAGGGAGAAGCGCAGCTCTGTGACTGGTCGCCAGCGACTGTGAGGGAATTGGGTGGTTCTGAGTGCATGTTTTACTTACTGACTGTCTCCTGTATTTCAGAGCTCTCCAATGCATGGAAGAACAGAGTGGTGGGGAAGACAGACAAGTTTCCTGTTGTCGTGGGATGTGCCCTTTAGTGCAGGGCGCTGGGGAGAGAGACAGAAGCCCGTGTAGATACAGAGGGTCATGGTAGAGGGCAGTGACTGCTGTGCAGAAATCAAGCCAGATACTCTCATACACAGCCAGACGGGTGGCTGCTATAGGAGAGGCATCAGAAAGGGCATCTCTGAGAAGGTCATGTTTGAGCTGAAACATGTTACGAAGGCAGCAATGTGATGATCTGGAGAAGGAACATTCCAGGCTGAGAGAGCCGCTGATGCCCAGTCCTCAGTGAGAGCAAGCCAGGGATCAGCAGACTTGGCTGGGGGCGGATGTGGCAGTGGGGACGTCTGGTGGGCTGTCCTGCTGACCACCACGGCTAGGAGTTTGGGTTTGACCCCACCTGCAGCCGCAACCTGGAGGGAGCTGAGGGGAGAGAGAGACCCGGGAGAGGGCTGGGGGCCTGGAGGGCGTGAGCAGGGGTGAGAGATCCTGGAGGGCGTGAGCGGGGTGCAGACCCAGGAGAGGGCTGGGGGCCTGGAGGGCGTGAGCGGGGTGCAGACCCAGGAGAGTGCTGGGGGCCTGGAGGGCGTGAGTGGGGTGAGAGATCCTGGAGGGCGTGAGCGGGGGTGCAGACCCAGGAGAGTGCTGGGGGCCTGAGCGGGGTGCAGACCCAGGAGAGGCCTGGGGGCCTGGAGGGTGTGAGCGGGGTGCAGACCCAGGAGAGGGCTGGGGGCCTGGAGGGTGTGAGCGGGGTGCAGACCCAGGAGAGGGCTGGGGGCCTGGAGGGTGTGAGTGGGGTGAGAGACCCTGGAGAGGGCTGGGGGCCTGGAGGGTGTGAGCGGGGTGCAGACCCAGGAGAGGGCTGGGGGCCTGGAGGGTGTGAGTGGGGTGAGAGACCCTGGAGAGGGCTGGGGGCCTGGAGGGTGTGAGCGGGGTGCAGACCCAGGAGAGGGCTGGGGGCCTGGAGGGTGTGAGTGGGGTGAGAGACCCTGGAGAGGGCTGGGGGCCTGGAGGGTGTGAGTGGGGTGAGGGACCTGGAGAGGGCTGGCTGCTGTGCTCTGGGTGGGGTGGAGGTGGGCACGGCCCCTGGAAGGGCAGTGGGCGTCAGTGATGTAGACCGACGATGTCTGCAGCAGATAGAAGCTGAGGATGTGTATTGGATTATTGTTGCTTTCTCCCACTCCTCAGTTCTGTCCCATTGTTACCACTGTTTGGGGGCCTTTTCACCGCTCACCTGGGAATCTCTTATGTGTCTTACTGTTCCTTTGACTCTATTAACTTGCTTTTCCCATCCAACTCATGTGTTGGACTGTTTCCCTCAAACATGTTCTTAGTCCTGCCCCTGCTTGCCTGTTTGGACCTTCTGTGACCCTCTGTGGTTTTGCAGAAGATGTGCTTATCCAGTCTCCCTAACACACACACTGTCCCCCTTTCGGATTTTCCTGTTACCTGTGTTTTCCTGACTTCTGGTTTAATTCCACTGTGGTCTAGGGGCAGGCATCATATGATTCCTTTTCTGTCAAATTTGTTAACGTGTGTTTTATAGTCCAGAATGGGATCTGTCTCTGAGAATGTTCTCTGTGAGCTGGAGGAAAATGTGTATCCTGCTTTGTTGGATAAAAGTGACCTGTAGATGTCAGATAGGTCCCGTTGGTTGATGATGTTGCTTAGTTCAACTCTGTCCTTACTGGTTTGCTGCCTGCCAGTTCTGTCCATGTCTGATGAAAGGGCGTTGGAGTTGCCAGGTGTAATGGTGGATTCTTTCATTTCTCTTGGGCTTCCCTGGTGGCTCAGAGGATTAAAGCGTCTGCCTGCAATGCAGGAGACCTGGGTTCGATTCCTGGGTCAGGAAGACCCCCTGGAGAAGGAAATGGCAACCCACTCCAGTATCCTTGCCTGGGAAACCTCATGGATGGTGAAGTCTACTGGGCTACAGCCCACGGGATCACAAAGAGTCGGACACGACCGGGTGACTTCACTTTCCCTCCTCCTTCTCTTTCCAGTTTTGTTGGGCTTTGCTGACATAGTGTGAGGCTCTGTTGTTAGAGGATTCTTGTTACGGCCTGTAGGTCTTCTTACAGAATTGAACCTTTTATCATTATTCAGTGCCCTTTTTATCTTTTAGCTAGAGTTAGCATGGTATATTGTTCTCCAACTATTTCCTTTTAATCTATATGCATCTTTATATTTAAAGTGGTTTCATAGGCAACATGATGTTGGATTTTAAAATGATTCCTTGTAAGGCAAGTCTACTGACACATTCTCTCAATTTTTGCTTGTCTGAGATCGTTTTATTTCTCCTTCACTTTTTAAAGGTAATTTTGTAGCACGCAGAATTCTAGTTTGGCAGCTTTCTCCTTCTCAAACACTTGAAATTTTTCAGTTCACCTTCTTCTGTCCGGCATGGTTTCTGAAGAGAAGTTGAATGTAATTATTGATTACTGCATAGGTAAGATGAAGTCCTCCCTCCCCCAACCCCACCCTT